CGCTGCACCGAGACCGTACACATAACTCTGCGCTCGCGTTACAAAGGGATTGCAGAGAAAATAATGCACAACGTATTTTCATTCTTAATCTTCAACGAATATTTGATCAGAACAGATTCCGAGTTCGCAATCTCGTATGATATTGGAGGATCCTCCCTATTTACATTTTGCGGAGGGGTTGAAAGCACGCGTATAAATTTTAATGGGCCAGATCAGGGGCCTCCTACTCCGCGGATCGTTTACGGAGCCGAGTCACGTCTAGATCGCGGCACGTGTTTAGGAAGTCGCTTTAGAGGAGCCCCACGAACATTATGAAACCTCGCCGCGACTATGAATGTTAATAGAGGCTTTGCCCGCGACGACGGTGTCTACCATCGCCGTGCTGCAGCAAATATAAACACCAGTACGCAATTGCGAGTGCATCCGCGCCTCGATTTCACCGAGTATCCCCTTGGGCGTTTCAACAATTTTGCACCCGGAAAATTTCCGTATTCAGAATTAATACGCGGAACGCTTTCTCATTTGAAAGTTAATTAAATTAATGCCGTAATAGTCGGTTGTTTCAAGAAAATCTAATCATCTTTACTGAATATATTTTCAGGAAGCATCTGATAATAGAAAATATTCTCAGATTTTGTGTTAATTGGAAATAATCGATTAATTACTGAGAACAATTAACGCAATCGATGAGAGGACGGAACGGAGGATTAGTTATAAATCCGGTGGATCAGTAGGTCACGTGCGTGTGAGCGCGTGCAGTTTTTGTCGCGCGTGCGGTTTCCCGCGGTGGCCAGTCTTGCAGGAAACACTAGTCAGCGACAGTTTTATGCTTCTTTGCTTCTTGACCTTGCCCCAGAGAGGCCACCGATCGGAACACTATTCGAAGCATGTAGGGTAGAGTCGTAGTTTCTTTTCTCACCGCGATCTCCACGCTTAACGGTCTCTCTCGGTCCACGATCCGATCTCCGCGGTATCCTACGACCATCTATCTTTCAGTGGCCAACCAAAGAGAACGATTAATTCGAATCGTATCTATCATCGATCACTAAATCAACGAGTATTGTCGTCCGTCATTTTATTGAAGCGTGCTTTATATGAATAAGATTCAGATTTTACGACGAACTGAATATGGATAATAGGATCCTGCAAGTAAGGACTGGACACCTAAGCGATGATATTTGATTAACTGCGAAAAAGTGCGCCTAAACCGGAAATAGGGTGGGGCAGGGATAAATGGAAAGTGTAAATATGCTGCTGTTTTACGTAAGGATTCGATCATTATACAAAACTCCCAGAATAAGTATTTATAAAAAATAATGTAGCCTTGGTTTATTATTATCGACATTTTTATTTTACTATTAATAATAATAAAGTTCAAGACAGTTCAAGAAGTTGAAAGAAACTGACGAACGAAAGACGTAGCGTTGAGGATGTAATTAGAAGGAGAAAACACACGATAGGAATGAGAGAGGAAGACGTAAATCTCTCCTTTATAAAAGTTCTCGACGAATCGATGATGCGAAGGGAAGATAAATAGTTGGACGGTGGAATCTCGATATGGAGGAAATCGGCCGCGAAAAATGCACTACCGGATACGCTGTTAGGTGCTCGCGGTCACTGCCGAGTTCTCGTTGCCCTGAAATATGTGTCACTTTTTGCGGCAAGCCGGTGCGACACGCGGGAGACGAGTAACACGAGACCACGGCCCAGTTCCTCTGCTGCAAATGCAACTGCGACTGCAACTGTCAGGGACACGCAACGCAGTCTATTCCTTCCCCTCGTTAGGATTTCCTTCTCTTCCTACTTCGGGCCATTCTTCACAGATCCTCTCGCGTGTCGCCGCTAACGCGACAGGTTCTTATCGACCAATTCCTCAATCCGTTTTAATACCATCCACGTTAGAATCATTTAGAATATGAAAAAACCATGGGACTATCAATTACTTCGAGTTCTGCTATAAAATGTACGTACTTCGTAAGACAGAAATCCTAATCTCAACTTCCGCATCGATTGCAATCGATTTTTGCTAGGAAAATGTATTCGAGGCGAGGAAGATACGCAAACAAATAAAGAAACATTCACATATGTTGGGAACAATCATTCGTATGCTCGATCTCTATAGATGTTCCTATAAAAATTCAAATTTCGTCCTATATCAGCGACTGGTTGCGTAAGATACTCGTTCCAAGTCTTGTTTCAGTAAACTTTCGTTTTCGATTGATAGGGCGACGTTGGGTAAGATTGAAATCGAAATTGCGTGCAGGAGTACAATAGAAGATTCAGAATGATACTGCATTCTCGCCTTCAATCAAAATACCCTATCCCGATTCGCATATTCTTCCTATTCCAATGAAAACTCGTAAAGAAAATATTTTTACAGTCCCTCTCCCGTTAATTTCTCACAGCCGACGTGCGCTTCTCAATTAACGAAAAGAACCTTTCGTCGTTTACCGAACAAAATTAGCCGTAAAAACGTTTACCAAAATAGTACAATATTGAAACAACGAATCGTGCAGAGACGAGCGACAGTGCGCTGGCAGCAAGGCGGTCGCCACTTCCGGATACGGATACGAAATTGATGTTTGCGTACCACTTGAGAGTTCGATAGTCGCGTCGCACGGAGCCAGTAATGGTTTCCAGTTCCAACCTGGCAAGTAGAACCAGGCATCGCGCGTTAGGCAAGGCGCATTTTCTCCGACAAATAGAAACGTCCTGCGTTGTCGCGAATCGAACTGTTAACCCACTAACTGCCGTTTATATCAGACGGCGAACAGTAGATTCTTACTTAATTAAATACATAGAGAGCGCGTATCGAGGATTTCACATGGCTGACTGATACTAACGAGCGTCCGAACGGCATTCCGATTTTAAACAGAAAGCGACGAGTTGTATCGGTAGCTCCGTTCCCGATCGTAACTGGCTGCTAATAATACGATTGTTATTGTTAACAATCGAATCAGTCGTCGTCTGTGTAACTGGGAGCGTCGCGTATGAAGCGTCTATTAAAACTGTTCGCGCGAAGCGTGTCGAAACGGAAATAGTAGTTTCTCCAGGAATTAATAACGGAACGAATCGCGAGTAAACGCTTATCATCTATTAGAAGCGATTCTGTCCGGACAGACGAGACGGTGGAAAGCAGAAACTCGTCGAAAAGTTCGATCAGCTGGTAAATGGGATGATTAAGAAGAATATTGTGGCGCTTACCGTTTGAATTTATATTATAATTCGTCGGGTGAAAACTCTTGGATGATGAACGCGTAAAACGAAGGTGTAAATCAGCTGGGGATCGACCCAGATGAGACGAACTTTCTTCGAAAGCGTGGCCAACGGATCGAGCGCCGATTGATTTGTGTGACGCGACGAAACGCGTTTCGTTTACCCGGGTAACGTGTTTCCAGACTAAACGAACCGCTCCGGGCGAAAGCTCGGTGCTTCTTTAGACCGGCGATGACGAGCACGATTCGCTTAAAATGATAATAAGTAACGGCCACGCCGGGAGATATCACTTGCGACCGTTCAAGCGAGACCTATTTGCACTCGAAGCGTCGCCTTTGGTGATAGACGAAGCGATCGAATTGTAAACAACTCCCACGATTGCTCTAAACTATCATTGACTATTCATGATACTCCCTAGCAATATCCATCACCTCCAATCGCGTTCCCTGAGGATTAAATGTAAAGACCGATTTTTTATCGAATTTTTCTGTTTTTTTTTTTCATTCGACAATCGCCCTCGTTGAAAATGAAATACGGTGACTGGATAAAAGCCGCGTTCGTTCGTCGAGACAAAAAGCATCGGTATCCCATCGTTCGGCGAATCGGTGCCAACGAGACAAATTGCCCGAAAAACGACCGAGAAAGCCCCGATGACCCGGTATGCGAAACGAGAATTCGGTGACAACCCGGTCCTTTCTCTTCGGCCGCAATCGCCGAGCTTTTTCTCCTTCGAGTCGCACCTGCCGCTGATTCAATTACGTCTCCACGACGTGCATTGGCTCCCTATTCATGTTTTACAGCAATCATATTCCGCAATAAAAAGCTGTTAAATTTTAAGATCTCTTTATAATACATATTCGTTATTTAACGTTTATATTTCTTAAATGGGCCGATGAATCAAGACGATTTTCCGCATTCATAGGAAAGTCGTCCCGTGGTTGGAAATCCTGTTAAATCAATACCCTAATTGGCCAACGCACGTGTGTAAACGCTGTGTCATATTCAAGCAGAGAATTCCGCGAGGGAACGTGACCGTATGGTACGACGATCGAGCTCTACCTACACGATATCTCGTGGCTTTACTGCTGCGCCGTTTCGTTTCGTTTATTTGCATAATAGTCGTATACTGACCTGTCGTAAAGACGCGAGTCTACCGACCTCGCCCTCTTTCATCTTCGACTCTCCTCTTCCCGACTCATTTGCCACCCACGGCTCTGTTTATCGCGTTCACGAACTCCGTTGTTAATTTCGAAAGTAGATCAGACCATTAAAAGAGAATCAGGAGTGTTGAACTCGACAGCCGAGGTCTGAACGGGGAATCAGTTTCGCTTAATATGCGCGGTCGAGAGGGAAAATGTGACCTCGGAGCCGTACTTTGGCACGGGGTCAAGGCACGCGAGAAACGTGCGAGCATTAGGCATGCCTGTTAGTAACAGAAACTGGCATGAGACAAGACACTGTACACACGTCTGCACGCGCTGTCCCGTGCGCAGCGTCGCATCGGAAATCGTTGCTGTTTAGAATAGGTCGATAACCCAAATTCTCTCTTAATTGTAAAAAACGTATTTAATGATTCCTTTTAAAAGTCTCGTTATAACGAATTTTAATTTGTTAAAATACAGAAATCCATTAATTTAATGGGCTCCAATGAAATTCATTTTATAATGAAACAGAATAATTAATTATTTTATGTGACGCTGTACGGGGATTATTGAAGTAATTTCGAGAGCTTATATTTACTAATGCCTTTTCCTTGAATTTGAATGTGAAGTTTCTGATTTCAGGGATCAGGATGCGGTGGATCGGTTACGTGGCCACAATCCTCTGGTGGTCGGGCATCGCCAGGTCCCTCAGCACGCTGAATCGAGGTCACAGTCAGTAATATTCCTTTTGGTGGTTTATACGCGAATACTTCAGTAGCTGCGTTCCTCTCCTCGCGGTCTCCAACAGCTAACTTTCTTATCTCGAGCCTACTTCCTCGCGCTTTCAAACCTCAACCTTCCCTTCGGTACCTCCCGCGGTTAATAAAATACTCACGTCTTACTTCTCGAAACGAACACTGCTGAAACACCGGGGGTAAAAAGTGACAAGCACTGGTCGACCCTTGGTAAACGTTCTCCGTCCACTTGTTCCCTTTCTCTCGGCCGAGCTTCTTTCCGATGTGTAACGCCTAATTGGAGCTGGAAACTCGGCCAAGGTGCAGTCGGTCGTGCGCCCGAGCGTGAGAAATGAAAAATCGGGGAGAGGGTTCATTTCTCCCTCTGTTTAAACGCGGTTCGAGAACTCGTTAAACTCGGAGCGTGCTGGAAAATTTGCTTCCCGTACAAGCTGCCACTAACGATAATTGCACCGGGAAATTGGTGTACCGTTCGACCGTCCCTCCTTAACCCGTCCACGGAGCCATGTCAAATAAACTATCAACCTTATCGACGTTCCTCGCGGTATTAATTCGCCACGGAATGTAATATAACGTTCCGTACTACCGTTTAATAACCGCGCTACGTGTACACAACATAATTACCCCTTTCAGCTCCGCCTTCATCGCGCCGTACTTAAATTCGCTTTAATTGTATTCCGCGACAATACGACCACCGACAAAAGAGGAGATTATTAACAGGTCCGAAACGGATGGTACCGTTTAACATTTTTGCAGACGCGTAACGCGAAGCGACGTCAGAGTTCACAATGGCGCTAAAGCCTATCGTCGCAGACATTAATCATCGTTCACCCCTCGAGGATAAAGTTCCTTTATTACAGGGAAAGACGTATAACTCCCGGACGACAAATATCGTTCTCCGAATTATCCTGTCATCGAATTTTTCTCGCTTTATCACCGACAAGCTCACCTTTAATTAACGCCGGTAACGGCTCGTGCGATACGTACACGTATAGAACATAGATACACTCGTAACGGAGAAAGCGGGACCGTGAAGTTAAAGACCGCGAACCACGGCGATTTACGTCGGCTTACGAGCTCTTACTGTCTCGGTTAACGACCTGGCCCAGGTCTACGTACTTACTAACTGCGCCAAGGATCGACCGGGCCCCGGTTTTTCCTTTCTTTTTCGCGCGTGTCCCCGCGTGGCCTCGGGTTCCTCACCGCACTTTCACCACCAACGGAACCGATCCGATCGAAGTTTCGGTACCTTAACGACGCGACGCTCCAATTACCGAACCCGGGGACCGAGCTAATTAACGAACGACGGCCGAAATCCGTGGCAGTATCGATCTGAGGGGGTTCCTCCTTTAACGAGAAAACCGATTACGTATTCCTCGGACGCCGCGACCTCGCGGCTCCCAGGGTGGCGTTCATTAATTACACGCAGTTGCGTCGATACTCTTTAAACGGTTACTTGTCACGCACCGCGCGGTAACGGGATATGGGTCAAGCTAGAAACCCGGTACGCGTACGTGCGAACAGTTTCAGTGATTCCGCGAGTCCCATTTCACGAGACACAAACGACGTGCCGCATGGTTATCGGTCTTTATTTTATTTCCCAAACATTCCGATTGTCTGTAAGACTAAAGACTGTTTCCAAATTTCAAGTACAATTTCATTGCAATTGTTCATGATTCGTTGTATAATTTATTAAATAATTCATCAGGATTGTTAAATTAAGAACTGACGATTAATAGTTTTGAATGTTTATTAGGTATTTTGATAGGGAATGAGTATTTGAGTGTGTCCTAAGAACTTGTGAACGGGAGTGTATCTATCGCAGACGAAACTGTAGCCGAAGCTGAAACGCAATTTACAGTCAGTGGTGTAAGACAGTCTGCACGCAAAAGGAAGAAAGCTGCGTCGATTGAATTCGTAAACGATTCCCGACGGTATCTCGATCGTTACGGGACATTAAAATCGATTCTAATTTGAATGTAAATACCGGCATTAGATGTACGTCGGCTTAATTGTACGTTTACTGGCCCACTTCCAACTCGTGCGTGTATCTGATGCACGTATAATCGTGAACTGAAGCGAATCGAGGATCAATCATAGAACCTATCCAATGTGATTATTTTAGAACTCGTAGGAATCGCGTTCCTTCACCTTCGGTTAATGCTCCGATCCTGAAACGACTTTAGTAAATCTGTTTATATATTACAGCTTCAATATTCATTATTCCCTGAAATACACTTCCTTAATACAGAATTAATCGACCTCTCTTTCTAAAAACGTCCCAACAGATCTGAAATAATATTCGCATTTCATAATCTTTAAAATAAGACCATCGTTTAGTATAATCATCATGAGGGACGTCGTATAATTCCCAACAGGTTATAAAATCACCCCGAAACCGTGCCGGGTTCCCGGACCGGAGTCGAAAGAGGGTACGTGCATGTTCGTGTGGGAGTGCATCAAGTCGGAGGGCACCCACGTGGGCGTGTGCGTGGACACGTTCATGTTCGGCAGCTGCTGCGTGCACAACGCGACGACGAACTCGATCGGGCAGCACGCAGCCGGTTCCTCGTCGTCGGGTCCGTCGAGGCCGACGTTGGCCGAGGCGTTGGGCAGCGAGTCAACCAGGCCTACGCTCACCTCTCTCTCCAGCTTCCTCGTCACGGACACGAGCACCTCCAGGCCGAGTCACCACCATCCATCCGAGACGCTGCAGTCTTCCGGTGGGTCCAGCAGACCGCACAAACCGCTGTCGGCCGGTTCCGCTAGGCCGTTGCAAAAAAGACCGCACGCGAAACCCGCGCCCGATCACAACGACAGGGTGCAATCCGCGTCCTCGTTGAATTTCTGGGAGAAGGGCGCCCAGACCACGAAGAGGCCGACGTCCCATCTAGGAGATTCCTGGGAGAAAGTGCAGTCGCACAGTACCAAGAGACCGACCTTCGCGGATTCCTGGGAGAAAGGCTCCCACACCTCCAAGAGACCAACATCTCCCGTGGAGGATAAGAATTCCACGGATCCTTGGGAGAAAGGAGGATCCCAAGGTACCAGAAAGCCTGCGTCAGAGGTTTGGGAGAAAGGAACTCAAAACACGAAGAGACCTGATTCTCAGAATTCCAAGAGACCTGATTCTCAAAGCTCGAAGAGACCAGGAAACGGTAATCAGAACACGAAGAGGCCTGGTGAGTCTCAAAGTGTTCAGAAGCCGAGGCCGGAGGACAGCCAGCATGAAGGCACTCAGAATAAAGGAGGCTACCAGAGTCATCATCAGGGATTCAAAGACAAAATCGACGTAGGGCACAATACGTTGACCGTAGGACACAATAGGTTACCCGGTAAGGAGCAAGTGTCCAGCGAGGACGAAGGCATCAGGCCAAACAGGCCGAGCCACCAAAGGCCGTTCGGCTCGAGACCGGACGACAGCAAGACGGAAGATACGGACTTGAGCGTGCAGGAATCGATGCACAGGCCGAACGTGAATTCGGTTGAGGAGAATGTAAGAATATAAACAGCATGTTAACTGTTGATGTTCGCGAACGAGACCCAGGAGCTTTGAATTTGTTCGTAGGAGACCGTCAAGGAGCCCCATCCCAGTTTGAACTTCATTCACACAGAACGTCCGCAATGGGCTACGAAACCCGTGACTCCGAAACCTACGACGGAGTTCTCGAAACCCTACTTTTCGGTCAAGACGACCACCTATCGACCGACTTTGATAAACGAACACACACAACACACACACAACACACAACACACACAACACACACAGTCAGACACCAGACCAGATTTCGTTTCGAAGGTTGGGACTTCGAGTACGACCACTGCCAAACCGACCTACTACAGCAGTCAATCTACCACCAGGTATTCGAATGTTCCCTTAAGTTTAACTCAGAAGAGCATTTAATGTATCAAAAAATTGGTCGACGTATTTGGAGATAAAAAAATCGTTCGTTTTGGTCGGCTGAAATCGACCGGGATTAAAGTTGCCAGTCGTTTTCCTTTATAATAATTAATGATTCTATCGAGGCGGCGGCGGCGAAGCGGAACGAGGCGTTTTCGAGCGCCAGCTTCAAGCTTTTGTTTCATTCTAGCGCAGCCGGATCCTTGCCACAAACCTCTCACTGGCAAGTGACCACAGAGCCGGCGTTCGTCACGAAGCAGAAGCCTTCGTCGTCGACCAGGCCAATAGGCTCGTCCCAAACGAGCAAACCCTCGTCCAGTAGTACGCATTTCTGGTCGGATAACAGCTGGACGCCGCCCAGGCCGTCCTTAAAACCGCACTGGACGGACAATCCCAGCCTGATTCAGAACGGGCCCGAAGCGTTTCCACCGCGACCGAGTTTTAAACCGACCGAACCGCAAGAGGTACGTACGGTTCACTAGTTTAAATTTGTCACGAATTAAGAAAGTTTAATCCTCTGACAATGGGCAATTCAGTTGTTTTTATCGACGATAAACTGAGCTAAGAACCGAGAGTACATAGAATCCTTGAATTATTGGAATACCTGTAAGTAACGGATAGTTTTTGTCGAATCGAAATTCAAGGAACGCATCAACGGCATCGATCTTCTCCACGCGTCGCTGCCCATAATCACGAACGGTTCTTTTCGAAATACTTTATCGGCATCTTATCTGGAAATCGGTTTCCCTCGAAGGAGCAGCTCCATCGCGTTATATCCTCAATCGAGATCTTCCGCGGCCGACCATTGTGCCATTAGATTCTATCTATACTAAAAAGGTAGCAACGTAGCTTCGCTTTTTACCGAGGATTACTGTTAATCGCGACAAAGAAGTGGATCTCGATTACACAGTCCATTGAGCACCGCGTTACAAAGTACGAAAACGATCGACGGAGTTAGCAAATTCGAACGCGGCTCTCTCGATGATGGCCGATTCAGGACTTTTTTTTCTGTCGCAGAACATGGAGTTCCACAAGCCTCTCGGCGCGGCGCACTACATAACTACGTCCCACTTCGAAACCTCCGCCAGGCCCAGACCCACGAAGAGGACCACGACGTCCACGACGACCACAAGTACCACGACTACGACGACGACGACTACGACGACCACTACGACCACTCCGAAGCCCGAAGCCTCGACGATCGAGGCGACCGCGAAGACGGGCTCGGTGCTGACGGTTCCCGCTGCGGCCGAAAGTAGAGGCATGCAGTGCGGAGTTCCACCCTTGTTCCCGAGGCCGGAGACGAGGATCGTCGGCGGCAAGGACGCACCGTTCGGCCGATGGCCTTGGCAAGTGTCCGTTAGGCGCACCTCGTTCTTCGGATTTTCCAGCACTCATCGTTGCGGCGGAGCAGTGCTCAACGAGAATTGGATCGCAACTGCGGGACACTGCGTGGATGAGTGAGTAAAATGACCGATCTTCTCGAAATTAAAATTACTAGCGGAATTAACGGGATCAAAGTTCGATGCTTTGAGAAGAGGTTTATATTGATTATTAAGAAACATGGACGATCTGTTGCAGTCTGTTGACCTCGCAGATCAGAATTCGAGTGGGCGAATACGATTTCTCCTCCGTGCAGGAACGACTGCCGTACGTGGAACGCGGCGTAGCGAAGAAGGTGGTGCATCCCAAGTACAACTTCTTCACGTACGAATACGACTTGGCGCTGGTCAGGCTGGAGAGCTCGTTAACGTTCGCGCCTCACATTTCGCCGATTTGTCTGCCGGCCACGGACGAACTGTTGGTCGGGGAGAACGCGACTGTCACCGGTTGGGGGAGACTGAGCGAGGGTGGAACTTTACCTTCGGTGTTACAGGAGGTAGGATCGATTTTCCATCTCTACTGTCGTTTCATATTCTGTCTTGTCTATGGCAGACGAGTTTAAGAACGAAATAGGTACTTTTTAAAGGGATTCGGATATCTATTGCAGGTCTCCGTGCCCATAGTGAGTAACGATAGGTGTAAATCAATGTTCCTGAAGGCCGGTCGGCACGAATTCATACCGGACATCTTCCTGTGCGCCGGGTACGAAAGCGGAGGCCAAGATTCTTGTCAGGTATTCCTTCAAGTTGAGCCTTTTCTACTCTAGTACACCATTTCAATTACTGGAGATTTATAGTAGAATCGTTCGAAAGTGTCTGTCGTATTTCCAAGCCTGAGAAAGGCGTTTCTACGTGTGACTTTCAGGGAGACTCGGGCGGTCCTCTTCAAGTGAGGGGTAAAGACGGTCGATACTTCCTCGCCGGCATCATATCTTGGGGGATCGGTTGCGCGGAGGCGAATCTGCCTGGCGTCTGCACTCGAATCTCCAAGTTCGTCCCGTGGATCCTGAAGAATGTCACGTGACCCCGCGGTTCCCGGTTCACCATTTGTCACGGTATCCTGATCAGCAGATTGGCGAACTGACTCGACTGAGTCTGAAGAACGCGAAGCCCTTCCGCGCCTCTCGAACGGCAAAACGAAGAGGTCGCGTGAATCACTGCCAAATACTTAAGACTTGTCGGAGGAAAAAGAGGAACGCTCTTGCTCTCTGGACTCGCTTTCGAGGAACGGAGAAACAGAATGAGAGCCAGACGCTAGATAATCGAGCATAGACCCTGCGCGACTGTGCAGAGTTGTCCTCGAACGATATAAAGAAACTCCAGGACTGTATTTATATATATATATATTATATATATGAGTAAGATGATAATATATTTCTCACACATCGAACGAGCCGTTGATCCATTCTATCAGCTTGTAAATGAATATAGTGAAGAGGATCGAGAGGTAACGGCTTCGAAAAGGCCACGGACTATAATTGAGAGGGGAAGAAACGGTTTCAACAGCTAGCCACTGTTTTAGTGTATAGCGAATCTTGTAAAGTGCTAAGTTCTTGCCCATCGTATTTAGTAATCGAGAAGTTAAATTAAATTCTCACCCTACCCTATCCTTCATCCCTCTCTCGCCTTCCTTCTTTTATTTACAGCGTATGAATTATTATTTTTTGTACAGACATACATCGTGTACTTAAAGGTAGGTGCGTGTGAACTAGGAAAGATCTACTAAATATAAATATATATATATATATATGTAATTGTTTATAGATATATGACGATATTTATAAGTATGTGAAATAAATGTATGTTTATTACTATCTTGGGACATCGAATAATTTCTGTTTCCAAGTAATGTCGGTTTTAATTAAATCTTATAAAATTCGCGAGTTGAGCGGATCGTTGACACGGCCGGCGATCAAAGTGACCGAAGTCTCGGCGTCGACGATGAAGTAGAGGAACGGTTGGACGACCGTGAATGGTACCGGTCCTGCCCTCTCGAATAATCCATTACCTAACAAAAAATTCGTATAAAGCTTCGTCATACAAATATCTACACTACGAGGTGTTGTGCAAATGATGAAGTATAGTAAAACGCGATAATAGATCAGATTAGATTGCTGAGAAAGAGAATGAAAATTGGAAGCACTGTTAATAAAAATATTTACGAGCAGCATTGGAATTCCTCTCGGGAATAACGGAGAATGAGACCGCAAGGTCTCACTTCCCTCGGTGAGTCACAAGCGCGCAGGATATCAGCGATTAAACCGCTAACTTTATAACAATACTGAGAATATTCCCGATCGCGGGTCGATTACGATAAGCCGGAAACGACAGCTGTTCGACGAGCAAACAACGGATCAACCATGGTTCGGCGTTCTCCGATGCGTGGAGAACAATCTCCCGATACGTTTGCATAATCGTCTGTCGCAAAAAGTCAATTAACTTTTACTCAACTTTTCCAGCGAAACGAACGGGATAGATTGTAATAGCGATCTTCACTAGCCGATCTGCTGATGCATCGTCGTCGGATTCTGCTTCACAGTCAATAACCTCAGTGAGAATTACGAGTTCATTAATAAATTCCCACGGCATTTAGACGATTCTATTATGTCGTTTCCCTCAAGCTTGGATGAGCTTAAAAGTATCTTAAAGTCTGTTGCATCTACTCTCGCGTAAGACGTTATTATATGAAAATCCTGTTTTAATCTGAAGCCAAGTCTTTTAATTAAGCAGAGCGATAAGAAGAAATGTGAAAAAGCGTGGGCAAAGAGAAACACGCGTCAGTAGTAATATTCAGCATTTGTCAGACACTCTTGACTACACGCTTTGCCATTAATTATGCATCGCGAATCGCAATTTCACCGTAGTAGATTGCGTCAGATCGTAATTGCCTGATCGAAGCATGCAGCGATCGTTTCCTCCTTCATCGATAATCCAAGACATCCTCCTAAATTTTTTTTATCTTCCACAATCGATTAAAAGAAATAATTAAAATTAGAGAAATGAGAGAATCAAAATCGCGATTAAGTATAACTTGAGGAGAGGGAAAGTGCAGTAGAATGTAGAAAGCAGAGGGCAGAAACCTGGATAGTAGTATCGATAATAGCTCCGGCGAAGTGGAACGATCAATGGAAGATCTGTATAGGGCGACTCACGGGAGTGGGTCCTGTCGGGTTTCATGTAATTCCTGATATTCACTCCGATGCTCTGCTGCACGTCCCTGGCGTACACGCCGAGGTCCGGGCTCATCGGGGAAAGATCCGCCGCCCTTGGCTCGAACACGTCGACGATCCCCAACTGAAAGCAACAAATACCGACGAAGAACCAAAATAAATTCCTTAATAATTCGTTCAAGGAAAATAGCTAATTCCAAATAATAATAAAATGTTAACCAATTCCGTTTGTTAATAATCGCGACTTAAATCGAAGGTTGCACCGCTCGAAGGAATCCGGCAATAAAAAGCTACGAGTGGAACGCTACCTAGCCGAGAAATTACGTTCATTAAACAATTCTCAGTTTTGGTTCGAATTGTCGCGAATTATGTGTCAGGAGGCCACGCGCGCCGATTGCCCGTTTCGCGGAAGCTGTGACGAGAAACGGAAAGTGCACTCAAGTTCTCTTGGTTCTCGCGATTAAGTAATCAGAAACTTAATGCCCGAGACTAATGACGAGATATCAGCGGCATGCCGGGGACTTGTCCGTTTCGAATTCGTTCGCCGGTGACCAGGAATGTTTCAATGAAAATAAATAGACGTATGAACGGAACCGTTTTCATACCCTTTGCAGGAAGGACGTCAACGTGACGAAACCGCGAAGCATGAAGGACGGGATCGTGGCCCTGACCCAAGTGGCCTGTAGCTGCTTCCTCAACAGTCTCAACGATTTGCCGCCGAGGTCCCTGGCCAGGCGATACGTGTCCCTCCTGTCCGTGGACATCATAAGAATAATGTTGTATCTAGGATCCTGGAACGAAAGATCGCAAGCTAAAATACAAGAAATTCTCAATTAATGGAATTTAAATAAGCGAATTTTCAAGATCCGAGGTTTTACTCTCTATTAAACGACGAAGAAAATGATTTCTCCTTTTGGTCAGAGAACAAACAGTTACGTAATAGATTTTCGAGAGTCTTACATCGAGTGGAAACTCAAGGGCGACTGCGTGCAGCGATGGGAAATAGGCAAAAGGTAGGACGGCGAAGTATCTGGTAGCCGTGACGGAGGAAACGTCGCAGCCGTTTACTAGGAACGATATCTCCGTTGAATCTCTGACCGTCGCTTCGTTCAGAGTCGGCGAATAAGGCTTCCAAATGCCTAGATCCTGCATCCAGATCCCCTCGTCTACAAATTATATAATAATTATTTTCGAATTGCCAACGAGATTTACTTCGTATGTATTTACATCCCGAGTTTAGATCCTTTCACTGGAGTGAAGTCATCACCCTTCTTGTACCAGTCAACGGATCTGTCCGACGGTCAATCACCATCGGTTTTGACAACAAGAAACCCGTACCGGGATAACTCGAGAAGAATCCCCTGGGGCTTCGGACGCTACGTTTCCTACGATTGATCGCAGTCGAAGCAGTGGTCGTTTGTTCGGTTGACCCGGTTTCACCTGTGGCGATTGTCACTGGCGAATCGATAGATCCCATCTCGTTCGGGACAGACTGATTGTTCGAGCCCGTTGAAACGGTATTCTCATCGGCAGGCGGTCCATCCGTGGATCCGGCAGTGGTCGGAATCGTCGAACCAGAGGTAGGCTCCGTGATGTTAACTAGCGGAGTCGTTGGCAACGTGTCTACGGAAGACGCGGTAATTGTGGCTGCTGTTGACGCGGTTGCCGATGTGGTCGTTGACTCTGGGACGGGTTCGATGGATTCCGTCTGACCAGCGGGAACAGCCGTTAATTCTGACGTAACTGAAGGCGGGATGATAGTAGCAGCAGTCGATGTTGATAGATCGTTCGCAGTTCCTTCGCTGCGAGATTGCACGGTTGTAATTGCTGCCGTGGTGGACTGCGTAGCAATAGCAGGCGCTATCGTGGTGAGTGTGCTTGTAGTAGCCACTGAAGTGGTCCCTGAAGAGATCGTAGTCGAATCAGGCACAGTAGTGCCATCCATTAAAATCGTACTACCGGGGGTTGTTCGCGTTAATCTGTCCTGCTCGTCCATCGTGCTCAACGCCTCAGTCGAAGGTGTAATTGTCATCGTTTCAGAACTTGGAGTTGTAGTTTCAGTGAAAATCTTTGTGTCAGTCATAGGCTGACCGGTTTCTGAAGTCGTTTCCGGTAGGGGAGTAGTATCATTAGTTTCATCTTCAGGGACAGACAGATCGAATCCATAAAACCTCAGGATGTCCTCGTACTCTGTTCTGAGTCTGGTGTTCTCCTGATTCAGCATCAATCCTCCCAGGAATCCGTCCGCATTTAAATACGTCTTGGAACATGAAAATGATTATTTCAGAAATATCATGGATCGTGGAATTTGCTTACGAAACTCGTTCAGAGAAACCGGAGTCACTTAAAAAGTGAAATTGTTAGTTCAAGCTAAATGAAGCATCGCTTGTATAATCGCCCTCCAACAAATTATGCAACGATAGTTGATTTCAATCATGTCTTTATCAATTCTTCTAAGAACTTAATGCAATTATTATTAGATTAATTTTTGTTCTTAATGTTTACCATTTTACATTTATTGATAAATGTTTCTATCGAAATGATAAAATTATGATTAGAATCATTTCTGTCTTTTATTTATTTATTTATTGATACACGGGTTAGCAAGAATTTAGTTTTCTACACGTAGTCTGCACTTCAAAATTTATGATATAAAATCTGAGCACGATAGAGTCTTGAATCGTTACCCTCAATCTGCGATGTATATCGCGAAAGCCGATCCTGGTGACGTCTCGATCCCGCGGCAAACCGAGGACATCGGCGATCTGCTGTTTCCCCCTTCCAGCCGAACCCTCGTAAAGCGCCGCCAGGACGAAGCCAACCCCCGTCGGCGAGAATGCAACGTTCCCGTGGGCCGTATACTGCTGCAGAATCCGCGCGCCTAGGTCGTTAATAACGTCCGTGATGATGTCGACCGGCTGATGCGGAACCGGTTGATACCAGCCATCGAACCCCACGTTTTCGTATCCGCGGACGACCACCGAACACACTGTTGGAAAATATCTTTGCTGAGAAGTCGCCGGCTCGCAGGAATCTTGATTAATCATTAATTACTTAATCTCGTCGCGATCTTCCCATCGTGTTTTGCAAAACCCGTTAAAAATCAACGCTGAGAAAATTGTTACTCGGAATACCTGAAGAGAGTTCGACGCCTTTGATCGCAAAAATTCGTGTTGGAAGAGTGAGAAAGAAGAAAGGGATACGTACACTGCAGCAGGATCAGCCAGGACACCCGCGCGCCCATGTTAATCGTGGTCGATTGCTGGATCACTGGCGAACGAGGAGCAGAAATCGATTAACGAGATGAAGCATGGACGATAACCCGTTTGTCGCGGTCTGTCCTCGGATTTCGCGAAACGACGACACGGCGCGGAAACGCGAACGCGGTTCTATTAGAGATTAGTGTTAGTCGTCCGCTCTCTACGTCGGAACTGGCTCGCGGATGGTGCACGCCGCCGCTCGAGCCTCTGCCGGCCGGCCACTCTTCGGATTTTTTAAACGGCAAGGTCGTCAGGTAGATAAACCCGCGTCTATGCAAGTACGCCGTCATATCACGCGCGCTCTGCCCTTCCCTTTCCCGCTAGCAGGGTTCCAGCTTCCCCAGAGGATTACTCAGGCCGGTAGTAGGAGGAGGCGAATTATTCCAAGAATCCCCGAGGATTCGTCGTTTAGGAGCTTGCCAGGATTTCCAGCTTTACAGATTATCTTGCGGAAATTCGACGAAAATTAATGCGGCCATCAAAGATTTAGAAAATTTAAGATAAATTCTCGACGTTAGGTAGACCGATGGAATTTTCGGGATTGAGACAATTAGTAGAAATCATGGTTGTAGATAAATCAATCAAATCTTTAATTCAGTTGAACACCAGTTGACATTTAACATTCGTTTTTTTAATTAACTTAATTAAAGAATTGTCGATTGAAACTTAGAGAAAATCCTTAATTAAATAATGTGCACTGATGGAAATTGAGAAAATAAGTTTCATTCAGAGATTTCACTTATCGGAGATGTAACAGAGAGCAGAACCTTTCTTCACTCCCGTGTTCGCACACATGCAACGCGTACCATTCTTCTTCGAGTGTGATCGTAATAAAGTAACAAGAATTGTGGCAACTTCCAGCCTTAGCGTAACAAGGTGGCACCTGAATCATACGCGTCATAAGAAGTCTTGCTCAATGTTCACAACGCAATAAACCTTGTTAGACGGCAGCTCTTTCAGAGGAATTAACAACTTAATTAGACAATGAAGGAACCTGTCTTCGCGGCAGTAACGCCTGTCTCCGAGTTTCTAATTGCGGCACGACAAAGACTCGCGCACAGGAACAACGTTATCGTCGCATAGCAAATTCGTGCTGTTCTAAGGATTACGTTTATTGGTCACACGATACAGGATAACGGTTGTTATCAAGCAAACTCTCTTAATACTAGGTACATAGTAACAACGACTCTGCGGTCTCTCGTGCTGGTAACGACGAAAAAACGATGCCCCGATCGTGGAAAGGATCCGAACGTTTTCGACTTGGAACGTTGCGTGGATATCCACGCAATATCCGGTGCCGTCTATTACCCGCAAATTGCCGGTTCGTGATGGTAATTGTAATGCGGCGTAAACGTCCCCGCTGTTTCGCTGTTGGCGGGAATCGTTTCGCGCCCGCTTTCCGGTGCCAATTATTATCAGTGGTAAACGACCGAACGCTCGTTTTATCACCCCCGTTTACAATCGACGACGTCGCGCCACCGAATTGAGCAAACTTTAAAAAGCTTCGATTGCCAAACACGTCAAAATCGAACAAACTCGTATTCTATAAGGAAAATCGTTGAAGTTTGTGTCACCCGTACATGCGAGAATAGGATTTAAGAGACGAAGGGACGAATTAGTTTGCGTTCCTTGGCTATCCTACGCCTGTGCCAATAAAACTCGCAGAAGAGAAGGAAGAAAGACATCGTGACACCTGAGGATAAAAAAGTTTTAATTAAAACTGATCTTGCCTGATAGACTCATTTCACGCTGGTAACACCGTCATGTATTATGACGTAATTATAAATGTAAATAAATTGGCCTTCTGGCAATCGGCACAACACCAAAGGGATGCTGTCCTGTAATTTGCAGGGCTCTGCCAGCTTATCGAAAGATAAATAATAAAAGAAAAAAACAAGAGAAAAACGAAAGAATAAATAAACCTACCCATGAACAATACGAAAAATATTCCTTGCATATCAGCCACGTTCACTTTCCGCTCGTTTACCGCTTGATTGCTGCCGACTACGTCCCAGCACTTGTCCTTTATCGGCATCCTCTCCGAGATCCATTTGTTCATCAACCCGGACTCGTGCATCCGATGCAACCTGCGTTATGTACGAGACGAAGTTTGACACGGATTTCGAATTCGAGGACAGAACAAAGTCGAGAGAATCCTGAACTTGCGGAAGATAAACGTGCAACTTACTCCGCGTTGATGACGGGCAAATAGGGGCTCTCCTGTGGGACGATCATCGCTATCGGCTCATCCAGGAATTCGTCCGAGCTCAGCGAGAAATGGCATCCTCCGGTTAACAAGTAGTCTTTCCTCATTAAAAATCTGTTTCATGAAATAATTATTAATTTTCAAGAAAAATTCTGTTGGAGTTTCACGGATACCTGAGGGAACTTCTCCAATCGATCAACACGTGTTTTCCCTGTTTCACGCGTTCCATTACTTCCTCTTCCTGGGTGCTGTTGTATCTCTGGGCGAGCGAAAGGAGAACTTGGTATTTGGGCTCGTCGGCGTTCCGTAGGTACGTCTCGAGGAAGCTCCCGTTCAGAAAGCTCCAGCCGAGTCTGTCCTTGCACGCGATCAGATCCTCGACGGTCAGGATGGGAGTGTCCATTCGGGGGAAAGTGAGAAACGCGACGAGACTGCCGGAGTACGTCGCGACCAGGACCATCACGACCAGCCACCACATACCAATCAGTATGCGTGCGCTGTCAGAATGCGGCAGGTACATCCCTCCTGCAATTTTCTCTTTTTCTTAGTCGATCGATACTTTCGCTTCTTCGATCGTCGAATTTTAATTAATTAAGGAATAAGGAAAGCCTAATCCTATTTTGAACAAAATAATTTTGAAATAAAGAAGTAGAATCGAATGGTCAACCTACATTTTACACTATTTTTACCTATGATTGTTAATGAAACATAGTAAAAAACATTAGAAATTTACTAACGAGTATTAGAAAAGTTCTTTTTATGGCAGTTTACGAAAATCATACCTTGTTGAAGAAGCGCCCCGTAGACGTACCACACACACTGCCACGAGGATTTGAGGCCGGATGTCTTCAGACTATACGGGCTGTGCTTGTGAATCAGGTACAGGATCGGGCCCATTATGATAATCGTCGCGGCCAAACAGGCCCATGTCTAAAAGGCAGTTACAGGCTTATTTCAGTGACGTGCTTGGTACAGTGAATTCTATTTTAACCGTGCGGTGCAGACCTCTTTGTTAAACGGCGACGCGAATAGTAGAGCTCTAGACAGTTGTTTAGGTTTGGCAGACAAAAAGCTGTAAGTCTGTACGAAAATAGGCACAGTGAAATTGATCGCGCTTTTCCCATGATCATTCACTGTGTATGCACAAGCGGCGAGGAGGACATTTTTCTCGCGTACCAAATCGATTACTTCCTGTGGCAGGGTCCTCGTATCTGACATAGTCATTTGCTCAACTTTCTATAAAAAAACGTTGATTACCTAACAGTGGAAGAAGATGCGAGATATAAATAGACTGCAGATTTTATTTATGAGTTAATTAATAATTCGTGTATTTAATAAAATAATAAAAATGTCAAAAGCAGAATGCATATTAGATT